GAGCCAGTAGTATAGGGAATGAGGGTTCTAGACCACTTTTTCGGCCCGCGATCTCACCCAACTTCCGGTCAGCGGTTTCCATATTTTCCCCTCAAAAACGCGGGCTCATATTTTTCTAGACCATTTTTCTATTATTTTTGGTATTATTTTTTCTATTATTTTTGGCATTATTTTTTCTATTATTTTTGGCGTTATTTTTTCTATTATTTTTGGCATTATTTTTTCTATTATTTTTCTATTATTTTTCAGCATTATTATTTACAAGAATTATTATCATATGCTAGGGCTCATATTTTTCTAGACCATTTTTTATCTATTATTTTTCAGAATTATTTTAATCTTTATTATCATATTTAATTATACTCAAGGGGCCTAGGCTCTTAGGATCAAACACATTACTTGAATCATCTTTTTTATCTTGTGTGCTCACTCCAATGTTAATATTATTTGATACAGAGAAATTTATATCACCAGCCTTCCCAGTTCTACTAGAACTCTTACGACAACCACAAATCTTACCTAAGCAGGAGAAGCATGACCTCCACCTTGACATCTTATCTTATGATAGACCACATGTTAACTACCTGACCCCGAATATCGGAGTGACCAGCAAAAGGACATATCCATACTCATACCAATGGGCATTGAGTGTTCAGGTTTAACTATAACACACCAAGCTAAAGTATTATCTACCAACGCAGCCTGGGCTCCTAAATAGAACATACTATTACCCTTGAAAACATAGCAAGCTGTACTTCCACCAGTAGTTGTGAAAGTTCCATTGAACCAAGTGTAGGACAACCTTCTTAGGTCAATTGTAGCAAAAACAATTTCCTTCCTAACCTGGGTAAATTTTCCATTAGATTGCTTTTCCCAAACGGTAGCCCACAGGATGAGCCCTATAGGTATATTCAGAACGGTTGAAAAAATTGGGGAGTCTGTTTTAATAGTTATTGACTCAAGGTTGAGGTCTGTCATATTATTAATAGGATCTGTTCTCCATGAAGGTGGAATCTGATCTTGACAGTAAGCGTAGTACCTTGTTGCAGCAACTGCAACACCGCGATAACCCCAAACCCATTCTGCATGTATATGTCGCCGTGTTCTTACATATCTTAAGTCAGCCGTTGCTTGAGTAAGACCAGTTGAAGGTTTTAGGAAATTCTTTTCTACCCATTGTTTGTTAACTGCATCCTTGTCATTTACAGGATCCTTCAGATCAAGAATTCCACTTGAATCTCCCATGTCCAAATCTCCCTTTACCAGTCCACCTCTACTACTCATGAACTCATCAGTTGCCCACTTTTTATTAACAGCTGAACCGTCAGTTGTAGGATTTCCAACTCTAGTCAACTCGTAATCGTTAACATCTAAGTTACTAGCTAAAGTGCCACCATTACGCTTGAGAAACTGTGAGCACCATGAAGTCATGGAGCCATAAGAAACAGCACTAGAATCCCCAGACGACCCACTATTTAGTCCTGTAATAGTATTACCAGCCATGTCAATATTACCACTCATACTAAAGCCACTACTACTTACAGAACTCCCACTAACATGATCCGTGACCCATTTCTTAGACACAGCAGAATTATCAGTTGTGGGAGCACCTAACTTTATAATTTCATTATTATTCATGTCAAGGTCATCAGATAGGGTAAGTCCACTGTAAGTCTCACGCTTTTTTCTACCACCGCTAATCTTATCTTCCACCCACTTTTTATTAACTGCAGATCCATCAGCACTAGGAGCTCCAACATTCAC